AAAATGTATTCCAAATTAAAATCCAACTTCAGTTAATAATTTACACCGTATTGAGGCTTGACATACATTATTCTAACATCTTAACTCTTCAAAGCAATATTATTTTTAGTTTATTAATTATTTGTGATTTACCACATTATGTGCAGACTTAATATACCCGAGTTGATGTTTCATCAGTTATAGTAAATCAGTGCAGATTAAGAGAAGATTTAGGGCTATTCCTGAATATGATTTGATTTCCAAAGTCAAAAGAAGATGAGTTTTAACCATTCTTTTTAGAAAAAAAGATAAATGATGGATAAATATATCAATATGAACAGATAACGCTAGCTTTAAATTGTCCCATTGTCCCATCTGCTGTGATACTCTAGTTCCATGCTTATATGTTAACTTACTAGATAAAATTTGATTGTGCTGTGAGCAATATTTGGTATTATTCTGATTTGTGTGCTTTGGATTCCTTCTGTTGTTAGTGTTAATTTCAGTCCCAGGCCCTGAAGTGGACCTTTAAAAACCTTTAAAATAAATAAAGAGAGGGTCAATTGTGCTTTCTCTTTGATAATTAGGACTAACAGCTGGGGACAAATTTTAAGCCTGAAGGTTTAATGCCTATAGTAAAATAAAAGATATTCCCTTTCATTATTTGGCTTTTTTTTAAAGCACTATTGAAATCCACCATAGCAGTTGCAAAAATACACTGATATTCTGCTGTGATTCAATGGCACCTCAGCGATCTCTCCACTGACAGCCATATAAAGGGGTATGGCCAACCACAAAAACAGACAGATAACTTTGTAGAGGGCATATTTCGGTTTTGGCTTCAAGAAAACACAGCTCAATATCTCGCAGCACGTAAGTAGCTGATTCTTAAGCATAATTATTAATGACAAATGTAAACACAAATACAACATAATTTTCAATGTAATTGTTAACAAAAATAAACATTAAGTTTAAACAGTTAAGTTGACATTTTTGTAGGTCGGCGTAAAAATGATTTTAGATAATATGATCAAAAAAAGTAATCAAAACAACGTTGAAAAGGCAACAAGTGAAAAAAAAAGGAAAGTGCAGATATTTTCCAAGTTGAGTTCCTTTGGCTTTTCAAGAGTGATAAAGCTGATGATAAAAAGTAAATGATACATCAGAATCAGGAATCAGCTAAATGTAATTCTCTGAAGAAGTACATTAAATATTCAGAAGAATTTATCTATAGCTGTACCACAGGCATAAAAGCTACAATAGCTCAACTAGTCAACCTGCTCCAGCACAGAGCAGCCTTCCATCTTCTTGGCTTATAACCGGCAGCACCTTACATGCCCTATGTAACCAAACCAAAGACCTCGCCCTTCTTTATATACAGGTGCTGGTCATAAAATTAGAATATCATGAAAAAGTAGATTGATTTCAGTAATTCCATTTAAAAAGTGAAACTTGTATATTATATTCATACATTACATACAAACTCATATATTTCAGATGTTTATTTTGTTTAATTTTGATGATTACAAATGACAACAAATGAAAATCTCAAATTCATCATATCAGAAAATTAGAATATTACTGAAGACCAATAAAAACAAAGGATTTATAGAAATGTTGGCCAACTGAAAAGTATGAACATGAAAAGTATGAGCATGTACAGCACTCAGTATTTAGTTGGGCCTCCTTTGGCCTGTATTACTGCAGCAATGCGGCGTGGCATGGAGTCGATCAGTCTGTGGCACTGCTCAGGTGTTATGATAGCCCAGGTTGCTCTAATAGTGGCTTTTAGCTCTTCTGAATTGTTGGGTCTGGTGTATTGCATCTTCTTCTTCACAATACCCCATAGATTTTCTATGGGGTTAAGGTCAGGAGAGTTTGCTGGCCAATTAAGAACAGGGATACCATGGTCCTTCAACCAGGTACTGGTAGCTTTGGCACTGTGTGCAGGTGCCAAGTCCTGTTGGAAAATGAAATCTGCATCTCCAAAAAGTTGGTCAGCTGCAGGAAGCATGAAGTGCTCTAAAACTTCCTGGTATGTGGCTGCGTTGACCCTGGACCTCAGAAAACACAATGGACCAACACCAGCAGATGACATGGCACCCCAAACCATCACTGACTGTGGAAACTTTACACTGGACTTCAAGCAACGTGGATGAAGTGCCTCTCTTCTTTTCCTCCAGACTCTGGGACCTTGATTTCCAAAGGAAATGCAAAATTAACTTTCATCAGAGAACATGACTTTGGACCACTCACCAGCAGTCCAGTCCTGTTTCTCTTTAGCCCAGGCAAGACGCTTCTGACGCTGTCTGTGGTTCAAGAGTGGCTTAACACAAGGAATGCGACAGCAGAAACCCATGTCTTTCATACGTCTGTGTGTGGTGGTTCTTGAAGCACTCACTCCAGCTGCAGTCCACTCTTTGTGAATCTCCCCCACATTTTTGAAGGGGTTTTGTTTCACAATCCTCTCCAGGGTGCGGTTATCTCTCTTGCTTGTACACTTTTTTCGACCACATCTTTTCCTTCCCTTCGCCTCTCTATTAATGTGCTTGGACACTGAGCTCTGTGAACAGCCAGCCTCTTTAGCGATGACCTTTTGTGTCTTGCCCTCCTTGTGCAAGGTGTCGATGGTCGTCTTTTGGACAACTGTCAAGTCAGCAGTCTTCCCCATGATTGTGTAGCCTATAGAACTAGACTGAAAGACCATTTAAAGGCTTTTGCAGGTGGTTTGAGTTAATTAGCTGATTAGAGTGTGGCACCAGGGGCCATCAATTTTGAACCTTTTCACAATATTCTAATTTTCTGATATGATGAATTTGAGATTTTCATTTGTCGTCATTTGTAATCATCAAAATTAAACAAAATAAACATCTGAAATATATGAGTTTGTATGTAATGTATGAATATAATATACAAGTTTCACTTTTTAAATGGAATTACTGAAATCAATCTACTTTTTCATGATATTCTAATTTTATGACCAGCACCTGTATAATCCAATCACATTACTGATTTTACAAAATAGATGTAGATCATTTCATATGGTGCTCTCCGCAGAAGGAGGTGCTGAAATCCAGCCTGCGCCTCTTGCTCTGCTCTACCCTATGGTTGCGCTGTCCATGGTTCTGAATCAGTGCTCCAGAGGCTGTTCTCATTGATGTGAAACGAGCATTTTTGTCGGCTGGCTGGCTGGCTGGGCGGAGCGGCCCGGACCTCGGCTAAGCTGCGACCGTCTGAAAGCAGCAAACAAGCCAGAATCTCAGCAGGCGGGAAGCTCCACGCCCTGTTTGCTCTCTGAGCTGTCACACGTGTCACAGCACCATGCACAAATGGATAAGAGAGCAGGAGGAGAGGGGTGCATGATATGCATGGATGCAAAACCTCCTAACCTTCATGACCCTTACTTTGTTATTCACTCTCATGTTTTAACAAACTTTGTGTGTGAAAGAAAAACCCTGAAATTACCTCATTGTTTCTTTTCCTAAAGTAAAAAAGGACAGCAAATCATAGTGGATGATGCAATGAGTCACGGAGAGAGTGGTCTGGATCCACTGGACCGAGAAAAGCAGTCTGTTGCTTTGGGCAGTAATGCTTTAACCTCCAAGGATGCTTTATGATCCTGAAGTGATCAGGACATCCACACAAAGGTGCGTTTGTCGAGAGAGAAAAAACACAGTCTCTCTGCGTCATATTGTTACTGCTTTTAACTTTTACACTTCTCAGAAAAAGTGTGACTCGTGAATGTTATCCTTTATTTGGTGACTGAACTCTCACTGTTGCTCTGCAAGGTTAGGTGAAGGTCAAGTGGTTACTACACGATGCTATAGTATAGCGCTAAACTCATGAATAACCATCTGTTCAAAATAATACTGTGCTTCAACTATTGCCTTGAAACACACCATAAAAGCAAATAAAATTCAGGATAATGCAAACATGAGCAACTGTATTTTAATAATAAAAGTGAATGAATGATTGTACTAACTTCAATTCAGCAAAGTTATTGGCTGAAAAAGCAATCGGCTATTCCTAAGAAGCCACAGAAGCAGAGAAGTAAGGATTTAGAACAAGGAAAAATGGACCAGACACCAAACTAGTTTAAAGTAAAAAAAACTTAACAGGGGCTTTTACCCCCTTAGTCTTCTAAATAAGCGAAAAAGAAAAGCAACAGGGCGAGCGGAAACAAGGAAGCTTTTTCAGCTTAAGACATGTTGATAAAACATCTACAGCACCTCAGTATGCATGGATGGAGGAAGGCAGAGAGACCGACTCGTTCATTTCAGGCGAATCAGGGATAATGAGGCCAAAGAGAGAGGGGGAAGCGATAAGGGATGACAGAGGGGGGAAATGACAAACAGCAGGCAAGACAGTGCAGTGATTCGATTACACTGTTAACTTCTCATTACATGACAAAGAAAGCAAACACAGACAAACGGGAAGCAGCAACACCAGATTCAAACTGGATACAAGTGGTAAATATGTCACATCTGTTGTCTTCTCTGAAGCTTAGTTATTGCCTCCACTGAGGAGCTGAGCCCAACCCTCATCCTAACCACCATGGACCAGATCAGATTGAGGTCCAAATACAGCCAGGTCCCAAGTAAAATAAAAACCAAAGATTTTTTATTTTTATCTTGAAACACTTATTTAACAAAATAAAAAATAAAAAAATATGTGTACAGAAATCTTCCAAAGTGGGAAAAGGACGGAGAAAACCCCCCACTGTTTACATCACACTAATCTTATCTTTAAAGTGTAATTTTAGAATTACTTTTCAGGAATGAAGGGGCCAACCTTTGACTCTTGTCACCTTTGATCAGAGCCTCCAAAATCCAACCTGACTTGTCAAGTTGGAGGTACAGCACAGTGTCCTGTGAGCCATGTTTATGAAACGCTCACACAAATCAGAAAATCTCCATTTCAAACGGCCAACCATGGCATGCATTCATTTCAAAGCAGAAAACATACAAAGGCAATGCCTGCATCTAAATGTGCCTGAATAATCTTTGATTTAAGTCTCCTACCTGGCAGCTTGCGGTGTTTCTTTGGGTTCTCTTCAAAATCCCAGGAAAGGCTTCTGACAAGTTCTGCTTGATGTTGCACTTTGAGAGGAAGGAAAAAGGGGAAAAACAAACATCAGTGGCTTGAAAAGAAATGTCCTTTTATTCACACACGACAGCTCAAGAAGCACTCACAATCACACACTTGAACACCCAGTCAGCAGCTCCAGTAAACGAGCGAGCAGCTCGCTGTTCCTTCCCTCTCTTACTGTCCGTGACACTCGCCTCCTCTCTTCCCGCCCACCTACTCCAGCCCCCTCCCCCATTCCCTGCTCTGACTCCTTTCTCTTCCCTACCGCTCCCTCTCTGCTGTCAGACAAAATGCACACAGCCCCTCGATCTCTTAGTTTACTATTTCTGACATTTTTCCCCCACCCACTCACACCTTCTGCTCCGTGAAAACAAATATCAGTCGGTGGTACTATTAGATGTGCATTTCCACACATCATTTACAATCTTGTTCTTGGGTTTATGAACCATTTCTGTGGATATTATCTGATGAAAGGAAACAAAGCCCCTGAGCAGGCTCAGTTATATTAGATGATGGGATTAATGAATAATCTTAATGAGGCATACACAGTCTATACGATTACTGTTTGAAACTGCTCTTTCCCTCTTATTTTTCTTGATTTCAGCCCCTTCGATGCCTCACTCCATTTATTTCTGGCTCTCCTCAGGAATCGCTGGTGCATCTGATGCTCCTCACGTCCCGTTCGGCAGACAGCTAGTCAAGGGCATTCCCAGAGTAAGTGTATGCTAATGCTCTGCCTTGAGGAGCTGCCTAGCATCCTCCAGACACTCAGCCTGACCGGATGTGGCACTCGGATCTCCCAGAGAGGGGACAGCAGCTGACAAAGCCAGATCAACGACACCTACAGGTTCTAACACATTTTTCTATATTGAAATGACATAGAAGGTGTTAGCTGTCAATCAATCTCGCAAAATTAAATAATATTTTTGTCCCTGTTCACAGTAACAGAATTATGTAGTAAACCATTGCAAGAGTTGAAATGGTCCTGTTGACCACAGAAAATCACACACAGACAGCAAACAGGTAAAGTTTCTGTTAATGATTGCCAACTAGCACCCTGCCTGAACTCCACGCAGCTTGCTCTTCCTTAAATAAGCTTTGCCTCACTGCTGTGCATGGTTTAGGTGTTGTGCCCAGTGGATGTTTGGTGCCATTCGATTACTCGGTCCAGTGATGTACCCATTGCAAAGGTGTGGCTCAATAAACTCATACCTAGACTTAATGAGAGGAGGAATGAATCCATGTATAGAAAACATCAGAATCGTTTTAACACATATCCCTGCACTTTTTTTTTTTTTTTTACAATTGTAACTAGGGATCCGTACAGCTGTGTTGTATATCTCATCCGTTTGACTACAACTAATTTATGGCTTTAAGTCTTAAGTTAAATTAATAGGCATGGGAGAAATTTACAGAAAGAATGTTGTTGCATGAGCCCATTGAATCCCTGTTCATGCACAAATAAACAATCAATGGAAATGTTTTTTCCTCTTTTGATTTTAAAAACAGAAATTTTAAAATAACAACCACTGCTGTTGAACTGAATTGAAGTAGATTAAATTCAATTTATTTATTTTTTTGATGCATCTGAAAAGTGCCATATAATAGTCTAAAAACATAACTGATCACGTCATGTTCTTCAAGATCTTTGTTTGGATGAGTTGCTCTAAGACACAGTTGAGGTAAAAGAACAGGTGTGCCTGTCAGGCTTCTACAATAAGGATCTAAATACTCCTACCCTTGACTTATGATGACATCTACTCCATTGTGAACAAAATAGACTTTTTTCCATCTTAACTCAAACTTTAAGTGAGAAGTTTTGACAGCACACTATGGGTGCCAGGCTACCTGGAGATCCCGTGTCTCCCATCACCACCTTAAACAACATATATCTAGTGCCGGACACCTTCTCAGCATGCAAGATGGTCCTCACACAAATATAAATTTTGAAAGAAAGCTCAGATGAGTATTTTCTGTGGTAACTTAAGAGGCATAACTTGTCTTGATAATAGTCTTCTAAATAGTGTTATCCACTCCACTGGTCATATCCACAGCTGTCTAGTTTGGCTCCACCTTAAAACAAGAGAAGGCCAAACTACAGGAACAACTGTGTTTATAATGTGGCTTATTATGGCTAACCTTCTTTACATCCAGGACTTCTACATCTAAGTCAGGAAATGGGCTTCTTACATCTCTGCAGACTTTTGACATGGTTAAACTGTTAGGACTTTTACCTTAAGACATTGGCTATAGAGCGCTAATTGCTCAAACTAGCCATCAGGGAGTCACTTTCTTCCCTTAGGTCGTCTCTCTGATCAGCACTTAACATTCAGATTGCCCAGCCCTTAGCTGGGAATCAATACTATGAATTCTTCTATTTCTTTAATGTGTTTCTGTGTAGTAATAAGGCGCATGTACATATTTCTTAAAAAGAATAGAAATCTTTTATGAAAGTATGCCTAAATATGGGTATTGAAAGAATAGTCGAACCAAAGTAATATTGTGCACAAACCCATAAGGCTCAATCTGATTCTAAAAAAATGATTCTAAACATAATAGAACAGAAAATAGAAGAAAATGATGCGTGTCAAAAACTTTTCCTACAATCAGACCTTTCTAAAGAAAGTAAGAAAGTTGCTAGAGTCAGATTTTCCGAATACAGTTATTAGAACTACATGTGTTAACACAAAATCATTTACTGGATAAAGCAACACATATGTTAGTAACTTTGGGCGGTATTTCAAACAAAGATTTCCAATGTTTGTTTCAATTGTATGGTGCTATTCAAGCACCACACAAGCCGATACCAATAATCATGGTATGTTGATCATGTCTAGTATTAAAAATATATATATTCTTTTATTTTAATCCAGACCTGGAAAATTCTCACCAAAAGGAAGCTCTGTGCAAGCTTGAGCAACAACAGCTGTCATATCCTCTTCTATGGACTTTTTGGGTTTTTTCACATTTTTATTTTGGATTTTCAGTTTTGCTTTGATTTTGATTGTCATGTGTTGCTGATTTTTATCATTTTTTTTTTTTTAAATCTGTCTTAGTTACTCTTCCTTGGTGTTTATTTTAGTTATTCTCTTTTCAGCATTTCTGTTATTTAGTCTGTGCTTTAGTTGTTCCTATTATGATTTTCTGTTAGATTATGCATTGCATATCATTCATCTAAATTTCTCCAGTCCCTTTCACATCCTCTAGTTTTCTCTTTTGGTCATTCTGTGTTTCTTAGTCATCAGTTTATTTAGCCTTTTATGTCATATTAGTTCTTCCCAGCCCTATTATATGTCCCGGGTTACTCTATGTTGCCCTCTAGTGCTCCTCTTCTTTTCCCTTAGCTCTCTTCAAGTCTCTTCGGTACAGACCTGCTCCCAATTAGCTGATTACTCCATTCATTGTTCTGTCACCATATATACTCCTCCTCTGCATTTACTCTTTTCTAGTTTGTCTTCTTTCCTCATGTATTTTTCTCTCATGCATCTACTTGCTTTGATTCCTGAGTTCCCTGCCAGTTATTTTTCGATTATTCTTCTGTTTCAATCTATTTCATCATTAAAACTGCAAGAAACAATCTCTGTCTTCCATCTCTGTATTTTGGTCCTCTACAAACATCTATTAAATGTGGCAATAAGTAGCTGCTATGAAATGTTATATCGACCACCGGTTCTTACTAAACATACTATTCAGTCTGTCACCGATAAAATGCCTTGGAAAGCAATTAAAAAGCACTGGCACAGAAATTAGCTAAAAGGAGGAGAGGCTTCCAAAATAATCCATGTAAATCTAACCAAAGTATTCCATGCTACTGTAACTGCTCCTGGATGGTGCTTTAAAATACGTTCTTTGAGACACTTATTTCACAGCTTAACTTGGCTAAAACCCTTTTACTTTAGTACTATATTTTTCCAGTTCCCAAAAATTGTTATCCGATTTTTCTTAAAGTAAACAAGCCCAATAAGGCTTTTTCAATAGAATATCTACCCTTTAAGAGCACGGCATGAAGGGCGATGTCTCATTTTTGCCAAGGATACAAAAAAAAAAAAAAAAAAACGTTACAAGACTGATTTGGGTTTTCTTTTTTGCTATATGATAGGAAAGCATTTAGTTTCAAATAATGGACAGGAAATGTGAACCAAACAAAGGCTGAAAACCCATTAATGGTAGACTTCCTTTACAGAAGAAAGGAGGATGAAAATGTGGATAGACTAACAGAGTAGAACGGTACTGAACGGGGTGAAATGGCATTTAGAAGGAGACAAAACCCGTAGAATAAAAAAGAGACGGGTGAACAAAAGGACAATTTCCAAAAATGTCAGAAGCATTGCAGAGGTCACCTTTGGACAGAGCAAATTACTGGTCTTATTCAACCTAAAGAGAGGATTCAAGAGGCAGAAGTTATCTTTTCAACTGAGTATAACAAACTATGAGTCAATAAATGGTTATTAGCTTTTACAAACTGCAAATCCTAAATGACTGAAAAGCTAATGCATTAAGTTAATGCATTATGTCTCAGTTTGTTTGTTTTATTCATTATCTACAAACATTTTAATGTTATGCAAATTAATAAGCAAAAACTGCTTTTGCACAATCTTTAATGTAACTGTTTGCATAAGCAGCATATTTTCACATTGGTACTGTTAAAATGTATGATGTTTAAATGACAGAAATTCAAAAATAACTGACATTTATGTAAAGTTTCTATAACATTCTCAGACTTCATCAATAAGTTAAATTACTTTTGTTTTTCACTTAACCCCCCCCATTTCATTAAACATAAATGCCATTAGTACCTTTGTCCATGTTGAATGTTTTACAGGCGCCATCTTCTAATATATATACAAACTTTATAGACATAAACTTCCTTTACATCTTAAATCTTACAACTTAATATTCCATAGTAATATTAAGTTTATAGATCATACAGTAGATGTAAGGTATTCTGTTTTGCATGAAGGGTTTTTGTACTACAAAAGTAAAATATTAATCTTATTCTGATTTGACTCAT